TTACTCAAGAGTTGAGAGAAAAAACTGACTAAATTTCATGTTTTGCCAGAACTTTTGTTTTCTAACAATTTAGTATGATTTAATGACAGAACAGAGTACATTCATGGCATTAATGGTTGATTAAGACAACTTTGAGAAATGGGGAAACCAAACCAATGAGCAATTAAAAAATTTATAATTTTTGCTTTTATGACTACCTCTCAATAACTGAAAAAAAATTACATTTGGCACTGGTGATGAAAAAAAAGACCAATTTTAAATCTGAAAATCACACTTAAAGAAACTTGGTCAAGTATCAGGAAAAATAAAACAAACAATGTACCGCTCAAGTTGCATGCATTTATTTTGAATGTGTTCCAGGTTAATGACAATGCAAAAATTTCTTCCTATAAAATTTCAATTTTGGCTATTTGCATGTATTTAAATTTCATTTACAGCAAATTTTTCTAAGGAAAATATGAAGCACAAGAAGTATGTCTAGAAGGAAGAGAGAGATTAAAACTTAAAACCCCTTCAAGGTGGGAGCATGGATATTTAATAGAACAACATAAATCTGTCCTTGCATGTGTGTTTTCCACAGCAAAGGAGAAAAATTGAAACATTTTTCACTTTCCTTTGCTTGCATTTTTTAATTTCAACAACCAGCATTTGTTTTTGCATTGGCATTGCATGCATGCATAAGCTGGCCTTGAGGACACTAGTACAATACCTGTATCTAAATTTCCTTGGACTGCGTCGCCTATCCCTGCTATTGTGATAGTGAGGGCAAGCATAGCCTTGTCTACAAAGTCTTGGTGGCTTTTTGCATGGTTCAGTCTTGTAACTTGATAAAACATAGTTGGTATCTAAGAAATATCAGATAATATTCTATCAACAGCTTGTTGCCTTTTGTATATGTTCAAAAGGCTGAGATAAATTTACTGTTTACCACTATTTCACTGAGACACTGATAAATAATTACCTTGCACACAGCTCAATTTTCATCATAAAGGACAGCTACTATTTAGAGAAGGAAAACACCAGCTTCCGACAGGACACAAATAATGGTATACAATTAACCGGGGAAAGCACAAATACTTGACAGTAAACGATGTTACACTGGAAATTCCTCATCCACGAACAAAGTGGAAAAGATTAAAGATTAACTGCGATCAGATTTTAACCGTAAAGACAATAGAAGAATCCATAAATAATGAATAACTCTGTAAGAACCACAACTTTGTTAAACGGAAGAGAAATCTCTCATCACATTAGCGTTTATTAACATCAAGGAAACGAATTAATCGCCATATTTTTCAACGAAAATGAGGTTCTAACGGTGAGACGTTCGAAGATTTTGTTTTCTATGCGAATATAAGGCGAAAATATAGTAAACTCCAACGCAATTGAATTCTTATCTCTGTTTCGAGGTCGTATCATAGGGCCTCGAAGGTTACGGTCATTTGTTACCTTTAAATGCATAACAACGCGAAATGATAAAGACTGTATACTTTACGGTTGCGACCAAATCACCATGAAAGTTTAAATGAAGATAGCACTATGTACATTTAGAGCAACGTACAGTACTACACAAACCTTGCCAGCGGGGATCTTCTAGAACTGCTTTGTTATTCTCTATCCCTGCCTGACCTACTTCAGTTTCCTCCTTCTCGATGGCTTGTAATTCTCGTATATCATACACTGGTTGTCTCAGATCGAGTGGTCCATGAGCGAACGCGCAGTGTGGGCCATTTTTTACACAATATCCTCGAGTATCGGTCTCATGAACACAGGTTGCAGTTTTATAGTAACGAAGATGGTATCGACGTTCCACATCGCCAGCTACGCGGTGTAAATAGGGACAGCTGAAAGAGAAAAGGACTTTGAGTCAGCAATTCATCACCCGTACCAAAAATAAACAGTATAAGGCCTCCAGTCCGTAAATAAACGAGGCAGATGCAAGCAAAAATCCCTGGTACGTACTCATCTCCGGACGGGCAAATCCCTGACGTTTCATCGTACTGAGTGCAGTAAACATCAGGACTATAATTGAAGGTGCCATCCCTTTTCTTTTTCGGTCTCCTCCTTCTTTGATTCATGAAGTGCCAGTGAAAACAGGTGAAGGGTCTGTGAGCTGTACACTTGTGCTGTAGAAATAGTGGACATTGCTCGACCCGAAACTCCTTCAGGTACCTGGACGATTCGAAAGGAAAAAAATTATGACAACACGTAAAAACGTTCGCAAAACAAAGAAAATCACAAATACACCTACGTGTAATGGAAAGGCTTCTCCGGCTGTGTTTGAGAAAGGGCAGCTAATTTATTTTCGGAAGAAATGATGGTACTGGAAGAAGTCATTACAGGATCAGAGGACGACATGTTGTTTTGGGGACGTGAGAAAACCAAACGCGCGCGCATCACAACATAGACAAACCAGTGCATCATGGGAACTACTCGTCTGATTGGTCAAAATATATCATGTGATTTATTTCGATCGACTCAAGAAAAAACCGGCAAATGTTTCGAAATATGCAAATACGTTAAGGAATATTTATGACCTTGGAAAACTTCTCGAGAAAATTGATCGCCCGAGGAAAGTTAGAATTATTAGAATTTTTTAAAAAGACGAAATTTATTTGTCATTTGTATTTCCTTGCGATATGGTAAAAAGCTTAGAAAATCAGTCTATGAGTACACGAGATTCCTTCGAATTCAGTTACTAGACTCGGCTAATCAACGCAAATAGTTACATTGTAACATAACGGAGACAAAATGCTGTAATAATTTACGTGACCATATAGGCCAAATAACCCTCGCTTAACCCCCGATTGAATGTCGTCTAAAATTACAGGAATGGCGAAGGTAATATTCCACGTCGATTAATACGCCGGTTAGAACACAAAAATTGACCGGAAATCGAGGGGCGATTTTCCGGCCAATGCATCTGCAAAGAACAGATCGCGCTCTAAGAAACCGCTGTTAAAACGCTTCTGGATTTAACAACGACTAGAGCTTTGCACATGTGCTACCCGAGCGGAATTTACCTACCTGATGTGATCAAAAGTCACCAAAATCTAAATCATCTGGTGAGTAAATGTAACGAAATGGCCATAAAGTAAGCTGCAAAGGGCGTAGTGTCGATAAGGCTGCCAAAATTTCAACAAAAAAATCGGCATAATATATTTGACATTTAACTTCGACCTTCAAATACTCACCATCCATGCATCGCGAGTCATGTTATCCCGTGCTGAGATGAACGATAACTTTTTTTGCGGGGCCTGGCGCTAGGAGGCTATGAAATAACCCACATGCTGTTTATGCTGCCGATATCTATATTTACATATTCTGTGTATTATTAGATAACGTGTTCTTTGCGTTTTGTGCTCATAACGGAATAACTCTAGGCCACTTTTGGCCATTCATACAGTCTTTTAGGTTTACCAGAGAAAGTGGAAGTGACCTAGAAGGGGAGGGGCAGGGGGCGGGTACGGGTTGTCGGTATTTGGGGTCACGGGCTCGTGACAAAATCCACTTGTTCGCATTGCGATAAAAGGGACGTCAACCGAATGGTTTTGAGAATTTTCTTCTTTGTAAAGTATCGATTATAACAAAACGTGAAAAAGGAAAAAAAAGGTTGAGAGCTGAGTGAGTTAAAGTTAAAGCGCACCAATACAGGAAACTATTTCCTTGTACAAAAGAATTGGACAATCAATTCTTGCATTTCTTTTGGTCAGTTTCTCGGTAAACGCGAATATTTTCTGGCAATTCTTACCGGTCCAGATTTGATATTTCATTTTGCAATCTTCTTCAACCACGTCCCCCTCCCCACACCCCGTGGGCTTTTCACCAAAAAATGCTTTTTCTCTATTTTTTTATTTTTTTTTTGTCGTTGTTTTTTTTTATATTTCGGAAGTGAAAACCCTTGTCTATATTTTGACTGTTTTTACCGGACATTGTTGCAGGTGCAAGCGAAATCCCGCATGCTATCTATCTTCAATACAATTACAACCCTCCTTTTTTGCATGATTTCCTTTAAGTACAAATATCGTCTTGAATAAATGAGCTTCGCAATTAGTCCATTTTCTTAGAAAGGTTTGTTTATTTTGGACTTGCGATATATCCAACCGTTTCTGGCAAGGTCTTAAACAATGGATAATTAGCCTTGGAGAACCTTTCGCGGAAATTTTCAATCTATCGCCATATATAGTACTAGGGCTTAAGCCACACAAAAACAAGAAACTAAACTTCCTTTTTTTGGTCGCAAGATATTTTGTATGGATATGCAGAATGCGCAACATCTCTCCGGAAATAAAAAACTTCCCCCTCTTCTTCTCACATTATAATGCATAAATCATTATTATAAAGAAAAACCATGCTTACAACAAGCACAACACGCATTTACTTAGTGTTTTCTTTAATTCTGTTTACATATAGTTTGATGTTTGTATCCTTTTTTCCTGCACTTTTTTTTTTCTTTTAAACTACCTTTTTTCTATAAATTGTAAGTAGTGCACTCTATACACTGTAAACGTTTTTGTTTTTTCTTTTTCTTTTCAATATAATTGTTTGTTCAGTCGCTCTTCAACCAGTATTGTTTTAAATATTGTATTGCACTGTAACGTACGTATTTGTATAAAACAAAAAACGTAAGTAATGTAGCTATAGATGTAACTGTACTTAAGTTATTTTCTGTAACCGTGATGTAAGTAATATAGCTGTAATTAAAGTAAAAAAAAAAAAAAAAATTAAAAAAAATGACCAGTCTCAGCTGATAAGTGCCATGAAGGACTGGGCCTAAACCAATCCACCCTTCCCCTCTGGGTAATGACATAACTTTGCTTGGTATAAAGCTGACGTTTACGGTTTTGACCTCCACAAATAACATCGCGTACTTCACTAGGGGCTGCGAATACGACACTCTCAACACGTAATTTTAGAATTGCTATCCAATCTGCGACAACCTGCTTAGAAACATATGATTATCTTTAAAGTTTTGGAATCGCTTCCTCCGTTATACTGTCTACAATCTCACCATTTTCTTTAATTAATCATTCACATAGTACACTTATAATTAGGTACTGCAACAGTGTTATTGACTTCTTTCCTGATTTACTCGCTTCATAAACGCGAGATAACCAAACGCCAACTTCGTTTCTTCCTGTCCTTTCGTCGAATATTCTTCCCTACAACACAGCGTAAACCCTTTTCGTATTCTTGGGTAACGGAAACCAACAAAGATGTTCATTGAGCGCCTTAAAAACAGCCAGCCACGCAAGATACTGACTACTTCAACCGAAAATTGCGTTACATAATAAGCTCCAAAGAACAATTTTCAATTGAGTGTCCAAAGTAATCCGGAATTTCTTTGGTTTTGTTTGACTTCGCTCCGTGATTAGTCCAGAAAACCGGCGCCATCATATAACCCAATCAGATTCAAAACTAAAACCTACCTACCGCGATTTGGTCACTCGCGTTTTCCCGCGCTTCAGGCAGTTTGTTTGTTTATACCTCAAGTTCTGATTAGCTTCTGGTGATTTTTTCCTCGCTACGGTTGGCTGTCGTGATTGTTTTCGTTTTTGTTTATGGACACACAATCGAAAAGCACTCTAATTGCTTGAACTTGCATCACCTTCCTAGGCGATCAGATTCAACTCAAACCAATCCAATTGTAGTCAGTTGCATGGCAACTGCGCCAGTGTCATGTAATTCGTTGTTACTTTTTTCTTGATTCATTAATTTATTTTTATTAGTTGGACCAATGTAACTGAGTTTTCGTTTCGGTTTAATAACACAAATGAAAAGAGCACAAGGAATGACTATTTGAACAGCCATAGGATGTGTAAAGACTGCTTCGTCTACTGGCATCTGTATCTAGAAAGGAGGGCACACTACGCCTGTTGTCACACACTTACATTAAATTTTCCATAAAGAAACAAATAGCAGCAACAAAAACTTTAACTTATCAATTACTTTAGTTCATGTGCGAACATCGTAAGAAAATGGAACGTAACTTTATTTCTAAAAGAATGTTTTCCACTCTTTTGTGATGGGTTTCTGTCTTTCCAAGTGATAAAAGTGGAACAGAGAGCGACGATGAGAGCAGGGGCTGAAGTACTTCCATTCCGCCACAGTCATTGTAACCTATAGATAAAAACTGAAGACTGTTTAACCACACACCCTGTGTAAATTCTCTGTATTGAAATTCAATTTTCTCAAAATCGTTTCCATTGATGAGACTAATCTTCCCACAGTCTGTCATTTAACTGCTTTCATTTATAACATCAATTAGCTGGCACTGATACATCCCAAGGCCCTGACCAGAGGCCCCTGTCCCAGTCCCCTCGTTTGCACCTCGTCTTTCCCAGTGTAGCACTGTCCTGCCAAGTTGTCTATCATTTACACGGTAATATCGATTGAAGAGAAAGAAATAGGTGAACCAATGGCGTACCAGTCTCACTGAGTTACTCGACAAGAACAGGATCAATCATGGAATTCCATGGCACAACAGTCTGAAATGCAACGTTCAAAATAAGAACGTAGAGAGTAATTACATCATCAAGTATGGCAACTTCTCTTAGACTAGGAGAGAGTCCATCGCAGATTACCTCTATTTTTTTTTCAGTTTCTCTCGAAAGTTCAATTGTACTTTCGTTAACTCTGCATACACTCGATTGCAAAACGGTGAGACCCAACGGCTGTATGGGAAATGTTCGTACAGTTACATGATCAGTAATTCACTTTTCTCATTTTTCATGAATTTCTTCAAACAATATCACCCCTACATCAAACGATAAGTTCACGAGAATAAAAAAAAATAAAAACAATCGAAAGATGCTTTTGACTGTTAGACAAAGTCTCCTTGTCATCGCCTCAGGTAATGTATAGAGAACTGTTTGGAGAATATGGCTCGATACTGATGTTAGGGTGCAGAGAGTTCAAAAACAGAATAATAGATATATAAACAGGACTCTCACCTCAGTTTCTTCCTCTTCATCGTTTCCGTTTTCTTCATTTTCATCGTAAACCAAATCAAATTTTCCGGTCACGTTTCCGTCGCCTACAAAAATTTGAAACAAGAACAGCTTTTAATCGGGTAATCTGTTCATTCAATTATTTCCCTGTACCTAGTTAAAATGCGCCTTATCTATAAAGGACGAGCTTCAAGGCAAACATATGAAATACAAAGTAAAACGACGCAGTCGCCCCGAGAAGCCGTTCGCTGTTAAGGAGGTGATGCCTTTCTTTTCCTTGGTTTGTTGAACGTTATTATTAAGGGTACGTTCCGCGCCTAGTCCCGGTTGCATGTTTTCCCGCGCTTGTCGCCAAATCGACCTATGCCGGATCAGGTCAGTGAATGTTTGATTTGTTTCAGTTTTGGTCGAACGAACTTCTTTACGCATCTCAAAGATACTGAATTAGGACTGGTGATGAATTAAAATAGTAAAAATTCAAAATGAGCCCTTTCACATTAAGTTTAGTGTGATTAACACTAGCCAACACCAAACTGATCATCTCAGCCAATCAGGGCAAAGGAATAAAGGGGAAAAATTTATAAAGAAAATTTGGTGCTACGTCGGTGGGAGAGTATAACACTGTTATTTAGCATTATCAGCTGAATTAATTAATAACGTAAATTAGCCACCGTAGGGAATTTCAAAGCTTAACTTTCGAGCGTTAGCCCTGCGTCAGAGCGAAGGACGAAGGGCTAACGCTCGAAAAGTCAGCTTTTAAACTCTTTTCGGTAGCCAATTTACGTTATCAATTCAGTTGATGTCCCATCAGGACAAAGGTCGACATTACACGAGAGCTCACAAGAAACAGCCTCAAGTCACAAGACCTTTTAGCTTGCATCTGTTTGGTCAAAAGGATAACACTAGTTCTCTTAACCAATCACTGACCATGTGAAGCAAAACGGAAGTAACATGGGATAACTCGTGATATTGAATCCAAAGTTAATCTAATAAAACGATTAACCCGGAGCATACCTAACGACTTCTTTAGCGACTCCTTTGAGAGTTCTATCTTAACAGTTCCACTGCTTGGATCAAAAGCAAGAACAGTACCTTCCTGCAAAGCATTACAAAAACACGCATATGTTAGGAGACAACTGCTTTACGTGAATTGGATACGCAAACACAGAAATGTTCCTCTTTGAGACAAAACGAAAACCATCCGGCAAATCTCAACGAACAGTTGAAGGAGGTCAAAGCTCTCACATATGATAGGTGCCCAAAGTAAGTTAATACACTAAGCGCGCCAAGCGTAGAGAAACAGATAACCTGTGTTTGACAAGCGCGGGAAAACGGTCTTTGTTTCCCCAAGAGTTTCCATCACCAGGCAGTTTTCGAAGACGACAAAACAAAAAAATAAAATTGACTCGAAACAAGCACCTTGTAATCTGAGATTTCAGGAGTATAGGAGGCGGACAGTTCAAGTATCTGTTGAACAAGAAAGGAAAGAAAATTACCGCGCAAAAATAAATGGACAACACTGCCCTAAACATGACTGCTTAAAATCATGTCACGGACGAAGGATATGGTCACACATTGTAGCCTAACCCTTTAACTCCTAAAAGCGACTGGCTTCCAGTTTCTCCCTACGGATCACCCTTACATCAAACATAAAGGTCATGAGAATAAAGGAAATGATCACCGATTTAAGACGCTCCTGATTGTCAAACAAATTCTCCTTATCATTGCCATAAGAAATGAAAAAGGGTCAGTGTGGAGAATGTGAATACTAATGTTAAGTTGTCAAGGGTCAATAAATGAATAGAGGGTCAGTGCGTTTAGTATGACAAGGCCACTACTAAAACTTGTGCATGGCAGGGTCCACAAAACTAACAATATTCTGTAGTACAGAAATCTAAAGGGTTTCCTGACCAGTCCACTCTACAAACTACGACTTTTAACTGGCTGGTTGGATGAAATACCAAGACATAAACTAATATCGAGATCCTTCGGAAGGCACTCTAACACTCTGCTAGCATCGGATCAGATCAGGAAGTATCGGGAAGAAGCTTGGCTCACACCACAAGACTCTTTTACGAAGGCGACAAAAGCCACGAAGACGTGAAAACTAAGCTAAGCAAAAAACGTAAACCACGAACAAAGACAATTACGTAATAACATGTAATTCCAGCGCCTACAAAATTTGTTGTTATTGTTGTCGCATGACGTATGCGCCCTGGTGTCACTCTTTGTCGATAACTCCAAACGAAACGGATAATCTTGTTCACATATCATTAATCATTGTGTTTGTTCTCCTAAGGAGCTACACTTAGTCTTTTCAACACTGGCTTCTCGGAGTATCTAAAATCAAGAGGCATGGGACCGAATTTTCGCGATTTCCACGAGCGTCTACGTCATTAGGAGCTATTATGACGTCAATCATTTTCCCCACTAGTTCTCGCGGAAAGAGCAAGTTTGTAATTTTCGTGAGAGAGGATGTTTTTTGTTACAGATCGGAGATAAAGTGGGTGACTACGTTAATGGCGCTTTCACTCGCATTTGTCCTGTCAAATGCTCTACATGGTGCTAAAATGGAAGGTAACTTTTCAATTGTATGTCAGTGTGCTCAAAATTGAAAACGGATTTCAGAATGTCAAACGTTGCGCCATTCCCCCTCTAAAGTCAAACAGATTTGAAAAATCTGGAAAGAAAAGTGTGCATAAAAGGGATTGTACAATGGCTAAAATATTAAAAAAGCACATAGTCCCATGAGAAAAATTGGCCACTGATAAAAAGACTTTCCAAGTTTCCCGTTGTTACGACAGTTTTCATAAACAAGAGCCGCGTGCGTATCATTCTTAGCACGATCCCTTTAAATCTTGCAAATTTACCAACCTTAATTCATCCTTACTTTTTATCAAAGGCTAATGTTGTTAACTAACCATCTCCTTTAGAAAGTAATCCAAGATTGTATTGGTTTTGCTTTACTGCGCTCTGCGATTGGACCAGAAAATTCGCGTCATTCTCTCAACCAATCAGATGCAAAACTAAAGCCAATCACGACTTGGTCACCCGCGTTTTCCCGCCAATTTTTTTTCAATTTCAGTTCTTATTGACTCTTAGAAGGTGTCCCCTGTTTACTGGATAATGTATGGATAAAATAGGAAGAAGTTACATGTTAATCACTCCTGGGAGTTAAAGGGTTAACTCACAAAGGACAAGGAATTTTCACAAACATCACTCAGGACTTGGCAGTGTAGGATGCATTATCCACTACTTTCGTTAAGATTTCTTCAGAATCTTAATCTTTCCTTTCACTTTGTTATTAAAAAAATAAAAATAAAAAACAACATGATTTGCACTTTACCACGAAAATGTACATTTAAAAAAGTATTGTTACCATTATTACTGTCATCACTATTATTATCAATATTGTGATTTTCTTTAACAAGATAAAAAAGTTGTGTTCAGATTTTAAGGAATTTTACCGATCAATGTAAACCATAATAGTTTTCAGCCTATAAAACAAGCAAAAAACTATATTATGCTAACATTAGTAAGGCTCTCATCAGCATAAATGTGTTGTATCAACTCTTTTGGATTTTCTCATTTGTTCATGAAAAAATGTAAAATGGTTTCTGTGTTTACACAGCCATAGCCTAGCCTTCTTATTCCATTACTGTACTCAAAATAAACTTAAAGAAACTGAGTTACTGCTAAATAAATAGCAAGGAGAACTCCTGAAGAAGATTCAGTATGAAAACCGTGTTTACATACGCTCATGTAAAATGGTTTTATAGCCAATCAGAGCGTGTGTACTATTTGAATTATTTTATAATTTTCTATGTTAACTGACAAAGTGACACAGCGACATACAGGACCCATCTCTAATAGCTATCTACCTATGTACTAATAAACAAATAAAATATAAATATTGTATATAAATGTTTTCATGTACATAACCAACCTTGTAAGCTATTTTATCTCTACTTCTGGGAGGGCCATGAAGTGGAGTACAGAGACTGTAATCTTGCATTGTTGTCTCCTAAACAAAATAAAAAGGACTGTAAATTGTTATAAGAGGCTTTTCTTCACAAAAATCTTATAATGAAGGATGTTTTAATGTGTGGGCTATTCTTCTACTTTGTGCAGTGCTTAAGTGAACTGTCACACTGCATAATTGAACCCTCAACTTGTTTATAATATTTTGTATTTAGTAAGAGGAATTTTGATACTGTACAAAAGGTTCTTCTCTAAGGAGCTGGGAGCTGTAAAAAAAAAAAAGCGTACATTTATTCCCTCAGGAAAGGATTATTTTAGATCACATGTTACCCTTGCCTCAAACATTTCATCAGGCCCCTGGATCGTAGTGTGCAGCCTTGACTCTGGTCTTATAACAGAAATAACAGTGATTGCAAAGCAAGCTTGAAACGGCAGAGAGTGCCACAAACCACAACAAACAGAAAAGGAGAGAGAAGTTTTATTAATGTTATGTGTAAAATCTTCATATTTTGGAATGTGCATTTGTAAATCTACCATTATATTTCTTTCCCCACACTATTCCTTTTAAAGTTTTCAACTTCTCAACCATTCCTTGTGTAACTTAACATGGTGTCATAACGTGACACTTTCATGAAATTATGAATCTTTTGCTTTTTCTCGAGATGTGAGTTTGGGATGCATTTCAACTGGTACAGAAGGCAAAAACAAGTAATATTAGCCCATTGTTTTAAAAACGACTGTAGAGTGTATCCTGTTTATGGGAATTACCTTAAGCTCACTGACAGCTGCTTCTGGGGTCTCTGGTGGCTGATTTTGTGTACATGGTGGAAAATATGGGGTTAAACCTGCATTGGTTAATAAGTGCTCTGAGTTGCCATTAGTCAAACCAGTGTTTTCCTGTTGTTTGTCAATACTTTCTTCTTCAGACTCCTCTGAATCAAATCTGATGTGGCTGGTTTCTTGACTGGATTCTATTAGAGAGTGAGGAAGGTGAAAAGTCTTTGAGAGTTCCACAAAAATAACATGGACACTGAGAGAACCCCAGTTAATAACTATATTCACAGGGTGTCTGCAAGTGTTACAGAGTACATGAACGAGAAAAATTTCAGCAAAGTTCCAATTTCTTTACTCTTAATCCCTTTCACTCCCAAGATCTCTTTAGTAACTCTCCTTTCTGTCTGCGATACAATTATGATGTTAGTTTAAAAAATTTGGCAATGGATCCACTAATAGTGCCCCAATTGATGTTTTCCCTATTCTCATCAATAACATACTTAAAAAATTAAGCATTCATGATTGGCTGAAATTAGTGTGTTTTTCATGTAACAAGAGTACAAAGTTGTATGATGAGTGCAGATTATAAATGGTGCGCTATCAAAATTTTGCCTGTCTTGACTTTCTGTGATACTTTTATCTTGTAAATAATCAGTAAATAATGAGATGATTTCTCATGTAATTTGGTGCAAATAAGCACTTGTAAATTTTTCAAGACCACAAGTTGCTTTTGCCTGATGGGCTCTTGCAATTTTGTTGTCTTTGAAAAATTCACTCACACTTATTTATGCCAAATTTCACTTGAAATCATGTTATTACCTATACCAATTGCCTGCTTGATATTACATTAGCCTTACAGGGATAAACTCTGTCGCACTTGTCAAATATCACATGTCAATTAGCAATATCACAGGGAATTGGAAATTTTATAAAGCCCAAGAGGTGTTCCCTTTTGCCCTCAAAATGACATTTTACTTGGCTGAGTGAAATCAAGATCATTCCTTACTCAGTGATAATGCATGCAGCCCTTCTCTAGACATAAAATTTTAACAATCATTGCATCAGAAAGTCTTCCTTAACTCTTTAACTCCCAGAAGTGATTAACATGTAACTTCTCCCTATAGTATGCATACATTATACAGCAAACAGGTTGTAAGAATTCTCAAACTCATCAGGAACAATTTATTACCTTGATTGAACACCAAAATTCTCATTTACAAGGAAATGTGTAGTAGCTAGAGGGTAGAACTGAAAATCAGATCTACGGAGTTAAGGGGTTAAGATCTCACGTTACTTTTTCAAGAAAAGTCTAGGTACATGTAGACTTTTAGGTTTAGGTACATGTATACAATTTATATATACAGCTTGCTTGTAATGGTACACAAACAGTGAATTTCCATTATCAGAGCTTGCTTCTTATAGGAATTTGTATTAATAGGAGTTTTTTAAAATGAAATCTGTCCAGTGTATCCATTACAAGAGCTTTGACTGTAATTATAGTGACTATACCTGGCGTTTTGCTATATCTTTCAGTTGCACTTGATAGAGGCCATACTTGTCCAGTAGAGTTCATTTGCTTGGTATTACAACAAGTGGCAGATTGCTTGTCAGATGTCTCAATTTTTTGTCTTGTTAGTGTCTGACTATATGCAGAATTAGGTGACTGGAATGATGTTCTGGATGACAATGCAGGGTTTTCTAAGGATGAAAAAGTGTTCTTGCTGGTGCTCTCAGTTCTTGAATTCACCTTCGCACTTCCATGAGAAAAAACAGAAGAGTTCTCTGACTTTTCCACACCCCTGGAAGATTCTGATGGTGATGAAAAAGATCTGTCATTTCTTGTTCCCTCACTGATATCCCACAAAGTCAAAGATGATTTAGGAATAGAGTTACATGTATTCTTTCCTTGTTTTTCATTTGTTTCTTTTGACATCATTCTGTGAGCATCTTTTTTTGACTCATCAGAATCAACCTTCCTTTGGGTGATGCTTGTCAGAGATTTACTCACTTTTACCTGAGATGGTAATCTTGTGGGTCTGGATTCGTCTGCTGAGCTGGAGCTATTAGAGGTAGTACTGTCACTATCAATGGCATTTCTATCACCCCCAAGTGTTACTTCTCCACCATGCTTGCCTTTTTTTGAATCTGTTTTCAAAAGCAATGAAGCAGCTTTCCTTTTATGAATATTGCCTTGCAGAGATACCTTTATTCCATTAGTTTGCTTCTGCTGGATTGCAGATTTTCCTTTCAAAGGTTTATTCAATTTTTTCATTTGGGAGCTTGTTGTAGATGAAAAAGCTTTAGTAGAACTCATCTTCTCCTGTGATAACAAAGCACCAACATCACTCCCCACAACTGAAGACAATTTTGATTTGTGTCTTCTTTTAGCTTCCTTTTTCAGCTTTGGATCTTTTCTTGCCACTTTTTTACTATCCTGTGAAGATACCTTGTCTCTCTTGGCCTTCTTACTCTCCATAGGTATCTCATTGTCATTTTGTACTCTTTTCTTTGGCAAGATATTCCCTTTTATATTTCTATCACTGACAACCTGTTTGTTCCTGTCCACTTGTTTCTTTTTCGGTTTATCCCTGAAAGATTACATAAAGTATCGGCTAAGGCTGATTTTTATGAGTCATACAATCTCACACAGATGGGGATTTCACCATTTCCTGACAATCCCAGATTTTGTCACTTTATAAAGACATGAACTGTAGACATCCTGATCATCAGGGATGGAAGGGGAATAAATTCATATTACATCTATTTTCTTTATGTTTCCCAATGACGTTTTTCCAATGGTCAGCCATCTGAATGATACATGGTTGTTTTGAGTTGGCAATAGTTTTTAGCTCTTAGCAGTCCTCAATTGCTTGGCTTCAGTCCAAGGAAATATAATATTGAGAATTTAAATGTGTAACAATGACACCTAAATATCATTTTATAAAAACATCACAAAAGTCTAGGAGAGAAGGAAACAATGAAATCCTTGATCTTTGGGGGTTTAACATTGCATTAAAACCAGTTTTAAAGTAGAACATGGAGCAAACCACTGTATGTTCAGTCCATCTCCTTACATAAGTCATGACCTCTAGTTAGGTAAGGTATATTGTTGCAAGAACTGATATTCTTCCTTTCAGAACTGACAAAAAGGAAAAAGAAATAATGGGAACCTAATTAAGAGCTCAGCCATTTGAAACCTTTTCAAATTTACTTTTCATTGTATTCTGTAAAATAAGTCAGCTGGCTGGTCAGTTGATAACACACAGAGTAGTTGTTCAGTCTCGTTAGCCAAGGGCTTATGTAAAGAAGCACTAAAAATGATATATTTTGGTACATTTTGCTGAAGAAATGTTTTTGTTAATTTTAATAAAAAGAAGAGAGGTTTAACAGCACTGATGATACCTTGCATTTGGTAAGTTGCTCTTCTTTCTGTTCCTTTCCCCTTTGTTTTCTACTGCTATAAACAAGTGTCTGCATGAGTATTATTGATGCTAAGAAAACAATCTCTAATAAAATGGTTCTATGCCTGTTTTTGATTTACTAGATTCTGCACTATACAGTCAAACCTGAATTAAGCAGTCAGTTTTCAAAGTCCCTAAATTTTTACCACTTAAATTACAGTAATTTTTTACCTCTAAGAAGCAGTCACCTCGATTAAGTGGTAGTGATCACCCTGTACTTACTCCTATTGTCCTCTATTGGCGTTGAACAATCTTTTAAGCAGAACCACTCAAACAAAACTAAGAATAATCTTTCAAGTAAATCGTATCCATGTTTGTCACTCAGAAATCAGTAGTATTTTTGAGCATGTTTTTGCCCATGAAGTGGTCATTTATAGCATATAATAGCATTCTATATCATTTTTTTATAATAACCCTTTTCTGTGGAACTTGTATCAAGAAGTCTGTTTTAAGTTTTACACTGCCATTCCCCATGAGTGACTGCTAAATACAGGTTTGACTGAGGTTGTCTGTAAAGAAAATTATGCATTTAGTCTTTTTATAGAGACTAAATGTGAAACAGCCATTCCACTCACCTTGCTCATCTCTTTCCTTTTTATCTATCTGTTTTTCTGTTGTTTGTTGGATCTCAACCCTGTCAAATGTGCAGACCAGAAGACTTTGTAAGTGGGTAAATGAAGCATTATCTTATTCCCGTATACTCAAAATGGCGCTAGCTATGTGATGAGTTGTATGTGAGAGGTGAAAAGCAAGGGATTTACAAGGAAAGGAAAAGGAAAAAACATTAATGAGTTTAAGCTTTCGAGGAGAGGAGACCAAAAGTATGTTAGAGAAGCAAAATCAATTAAAAGTTGACAATCTGCCGTTGTGGACCGACGCACAAGCCTAGTAAACTAAATTAATACCAAACCCACAAGTTAAATAAATTAAACTTAGGGATATAGACACCTTATGTGGTCATTATTTTGAATGATCTCTATCTTCTCTTGTGAAGGAAGAAGGAAATCGTCGAGGAACAATTTCACCGCGTAACAACTCTTCGAAGGTGCCTTGAATCTTTTCCTTATCAAATACTCTAAGTCAGCGACCGTGTTACACGAGGAAGTGTCAACTAGAAACCAGCAGTTCTTGAGCTCAGTATGGGGCAGAGAGTGTTGAAAAGTGAGACGGATTCGAACGAAGGACATTTTCAACTAAATATTAGCAAGCGCACGAGCTCGCACACCGCCATTACTATATGCTCAAACCGCTGACACAATCCAACGGCATTTACAACGAGCCTTGTGATTGGTTTTATCTTCCCCGCGAAAATCCGCGAAAATGAAAAAAACCAATAGGAACTGTCCTTAAAAATCGTTTCCACTCTTACATCGTCCTTTGGTTAAGAGAAGCTTACAGTTATGGGCAGCAACTCTCCAGCTTTTCGAGTTGTGGCTTGTTTACTGAACATCTCTGAAGCGCGAAATAAAGGAATAGTAGAATCAGTTGCTAATGCAGCACTTAACTTTCCCTCCAAATCAAAAAGCTTTAAGTGTTCTTCAACAGTTCTGAACATCTTCTCAGACTACGATTACAACAGATCAGTTATAACCATCGCTGCTCCGGTGGAAAACATAGAAGAGAGCGTGTTCCGTGCTTGCCAGGTGGCTTACAAAGAGATAAACCTGGGAAAACACAAAGGAGGTCATCCCCGGCTTGGATCTGTAGACCTTATCCCTATCCATACCATAACCACAAGTGTGTCTCTTGCAGAATGCGGAGAGATAGCCCTAAACCTTGGGAAACGGATTGTTGGCAATGTAAAGGAGACTTCTGTTTTTTTATTCGGTCATGCGGATCAGCCTTTAGTCAGAGGACTGGTTGAGAGGCGGAAAGCTGTTAACTGGTATCAAGGAGCACACGATATGGATTTCAGTAGGGTAGGGTGGGATCTTGGCTCCCCTCCCTCGCAGAGGTATGGTTGTACTGGAGTTGGTGCTATTCCGTACATCACAAATTGCAATGTTACTATAGACTGTCAGGACTTGCAGCTAGGAAAAGAGATTGCCAAGGCTATCCGTGCAACAACTCCTGGAGGTTTGGCTGGTGTGCAATCAATGGCATTTGAACATGAAGGAAGAGTTGAAATTGCCTGTAATGTTGAAGCCTCAAAGGTATGCATTTAAAGGGGGGGGGGCAGGTAAGATCAAGAAAGCTCTAACTTAGTGTGACAGGTATCAAATGAAATGCAGGTCTATACAGATTATATAAATTTAACCTTCTTCTCCCTCATTTCTTTGCCTTTGGCTGGCACCTGGTGTTGAACCTATACTCTTTGATTTAAGTTTAGGACCCCCCCAAAAAATAACTTTATGTATCCCCCCCTCTCCCGTTATGCTTTTCTATGGGTGTAGCACTTTGAATGTGTATTAGCACTGTAATTGGAGGGGGAGGGGGAGGGGGATATTCATTGTTACTTCTCATTCACTGAAGGTTATCCTCCAGCATCAGCTTCTCTGACAGTTTGCTAGCACTCACTTAAACTCCTGGGTGGAGAGAGACACTGTGCGAATCAAGCGTCCTGCTTTAGAACACAGAACAACGGCCAGACCAGGGCTTGAACCACTACCTCCCTTTCTGAAAACACTATGCACATCACAAGCTTAGAAGGCTACATATATGATCAAGTCCACCATTTACTTGCAGGAACTTTCAAGTGAAGGAAATTTTCAATACACACATCCTGAAGAGATTGAAAATAGAGTGAAAGAAATAGCTGCAAAGAAAAATGTCAAGTTATATGGGACAAAGCTTGTGGGATTTACCCCAGATGAAGCCTACAGAAGAGCAGTTAATGCTCTTTGTGAAGACAATGCCACTGCTTGGAAATGTTCTACTGAATACAGAATGTGAGGTTGATTTGTGAAAACCTTTGTTCTTCAGCAGAGTATTTTGAGAGAAAGTGGTACATAGTTGTAGTCTCTTTGTTGTGGCTGAAAAGAGTCTAGAAATAACATTCACATTTGATTAGAGATTAGAAATGAAAATGGAAATATGATATTGAGGATGGTGATGGTGATTGTGTAATGGAATTCCTGTCAACTCTCACACACTGGGCAGGATTCTTACACCTGCAGGTTGAAAACTCCCATCTCATCGCTTGAACATCTTCAAAAATATCAGGAACATCTTTGGAAATTTCTTGATTATTTTAGATATGATAAAATCCCCTATAAAATGCTGTATGTCTAAATTGAAGATAAAAATCTCAAACAGCATTGATTGCTTGATGGAGAAAGTAACAGAAGAAAGTGATGGCTATACTATTGTCATCTGCCCAGTGGATAAGCTAATTATTAAAAAAAATTTTGACACAGAGCAATGTTCTCATCACTGTAAAATACGTACTTTAAAAACCATGTTGCTGTATGAGCAAGTAGAGAACATGACTGGTTATTAGATAAAACCACGAAGAGTAACTTGCTGTTTACTTTTGTAGCACTGCATTTGTATGTCTTCTATTGCAGTTTTAGTGTGCAGTGAAGGCATCTAATAATAGAAAGAATGAGCATTAATTACAAACTTACCTCTGTTTATCTGGCCAGCCTGTGTGATTTAGACCCCCTCCCCCCCTCCTTCCTTTTGACTAATGCTCAGCCATCCAAACGTTTTTTATGTCTCCCTAGCCTTCAGCTGCTGTGAAAACCAAAGGTGGCAGATATAATATTTACCAGGAAAATACTGAGCACTTGCTTCTCAAGATTACATCTGCTCTGCAGGCTATAGCAGTTGTGTCCTCACACCTTCTGACTAGGAGAATGTATTCTATCTGACACTGACAACAGGGGGTGCACTGATATATTTTGTCTCCTTTGACCAATAAAAAGAGGGAAAGGATTATACTGTGGACCCCCAGTTACTTTGAGAAGTTGACAACTTTATTGATGTCTCCATAAGGCTTTAAGGTCAAATTTGCATTTTTCCTACCTCCTTAAGCATCAAATGTTACTCGAAATAACCGCTTACAGATTTTCTTTGTCTGATCGCAATCATGTTTGTTTACCGAGCTTAAGTCAATTAGGCTGGAATGCGCTACAACGGAGGAAGTCTGGGAACTGAAAGGAAATCAAGATGGCCGCCAAGCCGAACTGTTTAATAGTTTGCAGTTCTGCAACTCAAGGTTCGAAAGAAATTTTGCGTTATTCAACTTAAATACATACAAAATAGATAGATAAATCACCCGAGATGCTGAGGGTGTTTTTGCAGCATGGTTATACGGAGAAAGTTGATATAAAACATACGCAGGGTTTTCACAACAAAGTACTACCAAATACCATTGCTTTTCTTCTCGGCTTAAAAGTGAACTGAAAATTTTCATTTGACGTTCAACAGGCGTGTCAGCTCAATCCTTCATTCATGCATTTACGTTGACGCACTCAGTATTCAATGTCCAGATCGCAACACCACAAGTAAGTAATGTGTGTGGTGCATGTGCCACTTGTCAGTTGTAATTTATTTTTACAAATTCTCTCTATTTTAATGCTTTTGTTGTTGTTGTTGTTTGGAATTTGAAAATTTCCTTTCCAATGCGTGTTACGTTTACAAAGCAAGCTTACTAACTGACGAAACATCCACCAGATTCACTGCTGATTGGTTAATTGAGTGGCTGATCAACTCACGTGTAATATTTGTCTGTCGATCTGTCTGCAGCCCTTTCTATATAATTTTGTTTTATCAACTGATTTGATAATGCAAGTTGGTCACTGTTATGAGTTTTTAAAGCTGATGTTTCGAGCGTTAGCTCTTCATCAGAGCCAATAAAGGAATTGTGGGTTGTATGTGTGTTCATATGCAGGAAATGGAACGACACATCAGGCAGTTAAACTGGTAAATTCTACCCCCTATACATACAGTACATCATTTTACCGCCTAAAATTTTTTGGAATACTGGAAAATTCAGTTGGTGAAAGGATTAATCTACCAGTTTGAAAATTTATTTTACCTGTTATGCTTAAAATAAGAGAGAGTATTGCTAGGTTTGACTGTTTGGTACATCAAAAAGGGTTTGGAAAATTGATCTAGGCCAGCAATTCTGACAGGTTATTTATATATAGACTTTAAAAACCATGCAAGTTGTAAGCAGGAGTCAGATGTTCAGATTTCCTCTTTTAGGGTCAGCAAATAGATTTTGTGAAATCAGATGATAACAGCAGGAAGTGGTTGAATGAGTTTCGAACCAAACCATTTTCAGTCCCTGGAAAACTTGAAAATGTTGATGGTGAGCATGAATTTTAAACAATAGATTTAAATTAAGGTAACTGTCAACTGTCAAGGTCCATCTGCAAGAATTTTCCTACGCAAGCTACCTCAAGTAGAGGTCAACACTCTGCTTGAGGTGTTTCAGATTATGACACCTTTCACTCTTCTGTTCAAGTTCGCCCAAAACATTTTTTTCAGCCCTATATCAAGTTCTTAACTAGTTTCTCTTACTAAACAGCAAAAAACTGAAATTGTAAAAATTTTGATCAAATTTTGTTGATGGTAACCTATGAGTGTGAATGCTGAGCATCCTCTTCATTGTTTTAAAGGAGTCATTGCTTGACTTGCATTTGGTGGCAAAAAGGGTGGAAACAAGCTAGCTCCATCCATTTATTACACTGCTCAAACCAAAACATGTTAACAAAAAGACAAAAGTGACACTTTTTTTGTCAAATTCGTGACTAATTTTAGAAGCCAAATTAAATTTCTACAAGCCATAGTAACTAGCCTGGAGTGCTCCTTTTTCATACCATTTTCATTTTCCACTGTTTTGTGTGTATTGAAGATTTAAGACAGCTCACTTGGGAGATTCATTCTACACCAGTACCAGCTAAATTCATTTTCTAAGAATAAGTTCTGAGTCAGGACCATTCTTGAGATCATACATAGTGCAGGTTCACCTTTTAACTGTGTGCAATAAATGGAAATTTTTTACTTTTGTTCTTGAATCCTTAGCATCAAGATATGGTGCAGTGCTTATCCCAAGTGCTCCAGGAGCCCTTCATGATCTTGCTCAAGACAGTGAGCTTGCAAAACTTCTCAATACATTTGTCCATGAAAAAAGTGGGTAGACTTGACTATTAATTGATACTTATGCTGCTTATAAGGTGCGGTGGCCTCGTGGTTAGTGCGCTCGACTCCAGATCGGGTGGTCCAGGTGCAAGCCCTGGCCAGGGTCATTGTGTTGTGTTCTTAGGCAAGACACTTTACTC